CACCTAATGGAACCCCTACCATCTTATCCGACACCGCGACCTGGCTGCACAGCTCGCGCACAGCGTCGGGAAGCGTGGCCCGCGACGTGCCTAGAGCCTCGCGCACCTCTTGTACGAAGCACGCGTCGGGCATGGGTAGCGGCTGGACGATGGCTGCACGGAGCGCGTCTAGGTAGCCCTCCACGCGCTTTCCCTCTGCGTCCAACGCTGCGTGCAGAGCGGGCGCTGTTTCTGTGCGGAAGGTAGACACCTATATCCAAGTAATTAATCTATTCCGCTGCGGATAGAAAATTCAACTCGCCAGGTCGGTATACCCCTCGCACGCCCAACCCAACGCGACAGCGCGGTTGATCTTCATCTGCACGGCGCGTCTCTTCTCCTCATTGGCCGCGTGCATCGCTGACAGACGCGAATCGTCCACCTCCGGCGATGTCTGACGCGCGGCTGCTCTCATACGCGCTACAGCGACTAGCATTCCCCTACGTCAACCATAAATCGAGGCAAACACACACAAAAAAGTGTAGGGCGTACGCACTTCATCTTCTCAACCTTCGCTTTATCCCTGACCCCAAGCCGTGCAAGAGCAGCTTCAATCCTCGCCACACTGTCACTGGTCGTTTCACCTCGACTGGCCGGCAGCGCCTGCTCTATCCCCGCGTGCTCCGCTTCGCCACCGCGACGCGCCCGCCGAATGTGTTGCGAATGCAGGTTCTGTAACAGAACACAAAAAATAAGCGTGAGCTCGTATATTCTTCTACATCGTACTCCGCCACGATGTTCCCCGACGACGCTGGCGCTAATTTACTGCGCTGTCGGACGGCATGCCATTGCCCGGTCAGGGGCCGGCCCCGCGCGGCAGCGGCTACCAAGCGCTCGGAGCGCGCGGAGTCCGCACCGGGTATAATTACCCCCGGAGGACGCACGGCGCCCCGTCGGCTGTGCGGGGTGGTGTGCGCACTGCACAACGGGGAGCGCAACGAGCAGCACAATGTGCCAGTTTAAGAACTTGGGCGTACTACGATGGAGGAATGGGGCACGGAAAGAGATCACATACGGCGAGCGCTTCTGTCGTGTGCTTGTATTTGGGCCCATTTTTGCGCGTTGGTGTTCGGACAGATACCGCGCGGCGCTGATTGGATGATTCATTGGACGGCTATTGGACAGTGTTATAAATGGGCACGGCCAATTGGTGGGAAGGCGGCACGTAGTGGCTTACATTTTCGCGCAGCAGGGAACACCATTGACGCGTAGCGAGAGCTGATTCTTTCCTGCAGTAGTATATATGTACGGAGTACGTCAATTGAAACAGCACGAGTAAGCGCACCTTAAAAGATCCAACAGCGTGCCCAATCCTTTGCGGCCGCCGTCGTCTCCCATCCCAATGCGGCTGAGGCGCACAGTTTCGCGTTTCTCCAATATCCGCAACAGCAGCTCCACGTGCCGCCTCTCATCCAGCTCATCGGCAAGATCACGCCTCTGCTTATCTACAAACACCACGATCGTTCAGCCTGCTGCTAGCCACGGCCAGCCAAACACCAGCGCAACACACCTAACACGCGATGCCGCTCCGCCTCTACACCGTGCTCCCGCCGCACGCTCTCGAGATTACGGTACGCCATGTCGCGACGCGCGGCGGCCGCCGCCCGCGGGTCGTCCAGTACATCCACGCCCTTCGCCGCGTGCACGGCCGGCGCCCGAATTCGCGAGGTTGGTTTAGATATAGACTCCTTTGCCTGCTCATGCGCCGCGCGCGCGCTGGGAAGTGGCTGGTCGGTGACCGCATACATATCGCCATGCGCCCAAAGTTGGAACGCACCTCGCGATGTAGCACCGCAGCCGCCGCGCCTCGTCCCTGCCTACCAAATGGATGCTCAAGAGTTCCAGTGCGCTGCGGATCTGACCCCCAGACTTGCGATCCGCAGGAGTCCGCACCGATTTCGCTGTCTTGCCTGAGGCTGATGGAGCAGATGTGGCACGATTTAGCATGCGCATAAAGTCGGCTAGGGTAATCGCCGTGGGCATGCCTAGTGCGAGTAGGCGGTGGTACATCTCAGCATCCTTCAGAGACTCCGGAGAAGTGGAGGTAAGCGGGGATGCTTTCGTGGATGCGCTGCGAGATGTTGATGATGAAGCTTGTGCTGGAATCGTCCTCCTCGCGCCGCTGCCGGTTGTGATGCTGCTCTTCATGGTGAATGGGCTGTGAGTGCGATCACAGTAGCTCCGATAAACTCGTAGTCTTTGTATTTACAATGGAATACCCAGAAAGCTAAAAGACACAGGGCGTTTGACGTGTGTTGGGATTCAGAAGGTTCGACTTCCAACTGCAACTTGGCGATTTTAGTTGTGACGCCGTAGTTCGGCACACGTGAAGTGACCACCGCGTATATGTGACTGGACGTGAATCGCAGACCAAAAATTTCCCCTCGTTCTCCTCCGCGAGTCTCATCAGGCTTGCTATCATTATCATCTCTCATCTCTACTCTTACAGGTTTCCTACTGGTCTCTGTCTACCTCCCTATAGTTTGGTATCATGACTTTGTGGAACTCCTACAATCTACAAATCTCCCTGGATAAATATCGCCAGCCGCGTTGATGCTGCTTGAGAACAGGCGAGGAATAGGCGATGATCTGGACCCTGGTTTTCGCCCTGTTCTCACCACGACCTATGCAACTCCCCTCTTTCACATTTGGAGTCAATTTTCTTCGCATTTAACTAGGGTTCTTGATTCCTTTTAGGCCCAGGGAATGTAGCAAAGGCTCTCGAGTCATTCGCAGGCGAGCGTGAAACAACCCCGATGTCATCCACAGTCTGTTGTCCTGTATACACGGCCGGTAGTTGGGCTGCATCATGTGGGCTTGAAAGAGATATGTCCGTTACTCCTGTTGTGGGTACGTTAATTTCAAGCGGCTGCTGCGTCTCGCTAGGGCCTTGAGAATTGGCTGACGCTTCTTCTCGATACAGTTGCTCATAGTGACGGCGGTCGCGGAATCCGACGGATGGGACAGTGGACAGGGCAACTTCGGCAATGCAGGCATCGGCCTCCTCCACGTATACTTGAGTCTTGGACTTCCCGTTCCACGTGCATTTCAGGCGGCCAGGCCGGGTGATCACTTCTGGAATTTCCTACACTCACGACGAACGACCAGGATCACCTAGTTAGTGGAATTTAGTGGTTACAGAGAAAGAAAGCTTACGGAAATAGTCATCTTGCCATACTCTGCAACAATCTAGGGCACAATGAGCAGGTACGAGCGAGACAAAAGACAGAGATCCACACACCGTCCCCTTCTCGCACAACTGAAGCAAACCCCCGAACTTGAGACCCATCCACATCCGCGTTGTCGAGCGCTTGAAGTCGTACGTGGCGGCCTCCTCCACGGTCAGCTCTGAGTTTGTCGTCCGAAGATCGATACGCAATTGATCGAGGGTGGCTCGCTGCGCGCCCACGTTCTTATGGTTTTCCCGCTCCATCCTGCCGAGCTTCTTGTCCGCATCATCCGTCTTACGCGACAGCGTGCGCCGGCGCTCCTCGATCACCTCGAGCGCATGCTCCCGCGCCCGGATCGCCTTGAGGTGCTCGCGCATGGTGTTACCGCGACTAGCATACTGGGACAACGCGGACGAGAAGTGGTTGAGCAGGCTGGCTGACGCCTCTGTGATGTCCTATATCAACCCTCAGGTTAATCTTGTGCCTCACGCACGGAGGATAGTACACGGACGCTTACACGCAGATCATTTCCTTCGCTGAGCCCTTCGCCGGCCCCCCATATCCGCAACGCTTCCGTGGCTCGCCCGTAATCAGCACAGAGCTTCTCCAGTCTGGCAAAGCATACGTTGAAGCCTCAATCAGTTCCCAACGGTGGACATTGCGCACGATGTGATCACTGCCTTCTCCGCGTTGATCAATTCTTGCAAAGCCTTGTTGCTCGCTCCGATCTTGAACATGGTAAACTGTTGCGGGGATTCGGGAAACTGGCAGTGCTCGGCGCTCAGTGGTGTGCATCGTCTAAATTTGGACACAGTCAGGTTCGTCTACCTGTGTCAAAAGGTCTCGGCTTCAAATCGGTGCAGTCTTGCAGACCTGTGCGGCCAAGCAGAGAGCAGAGCAACGGGCATAGAGACCCCTAGTGGTTATACCTTGTCTGTAGACTGCAATCAACTTTTGTCAAATTTGAATGTCTTTGCAGAATAGTTGGGCAAACCTTAGACTTGAACCATGTAGCATGCACTTCTGTGCTAAATAAATATCAGTCTGCACTTTGTCAGAAGTTTCTTGTATTTATTGAAGAATGTTTCCACGAATCCCGATTCTGCCAGTGCGGGCTAGCAACTTGAGTCTCTACTACTTCAGTCTTCCTGATTCTTGAATTCTTCCATAGCACATACATATTTGTAGATTCTCAGCTTTGAGAAAGAAAAAGGTACAAAAATATGGACACTGTGGGAATTGAACCCACGACCTCACGCATATCGACCATGCGAAGCGTGCGCGCTACCCCTGTGCCAAGAGCCCATAATTTGCCACTGGGCCATCATAATTTCAGATCTCCATACCTTCAGGCTAATCCCAGGCTAATCCAACACCAATCGCATTCAACTTCAAAACTGTCTGTAAAGTTGTCTTCAGAGCGTCACTGAGGCGAAGTCAAGCGCCGGTCAATGATTGTGGCACAAACCAACCTTTCAAAACTGACATGACAATTGGATATCCTTTGTCCAACATTTTGCGGAAAAAAGATGGATTACGAGCCTCGAGGGGACGCCTTCCTCTTCCTATCTTCGAAAGTTGAAACCAACTGCCTTTTTATTTATGTTGAGCCGTCAACAATGAAAAATGTCAAGATACTTACTCTGGGAGTCTGTCGGGTTGCCGGCACAAAAATGAAGGTTACACAGAAATAATAGAATTTGTTCTCAAACGCCCTAATAGGCTGCCTTAGCCTATTTAGGTTGAGTCCAGGGCCAAAAGTAGCCATATATGGCATAAAAGGACAAAATGTGGACACTGTGGGAATTGAACCCACGACCTCACGCATATCGCTATGCGAAGCGTGCGCGCTACCCCTGTGCCAAGAGCCCATGTGTTTTGACCTCGTCCTGCGCGCTCGGAGCGGGAAAGAGGCACATACGAAGATGGCAGCAGATCATTTCGTTCTTGCAAGTTTTTTGCATCGAAATTGGGCATAAAACATATGAATTATCGAGTGTCCTACATGCACTACTTACGTAAGAAGTTAGAGAACTAATTTTATCGGCCACTTCGTCCATACTTTCAACACGCACGAAACGAAGAAAAGAACGGAGTATGGATTCGCAACGCAGGGAGAAGGGGGAGCTAAAAAAGAACAGAGAAACAGTTGTCCAACGAAGGTAACAAGCGAATATGACACAAATGACACAGGTTCTGAAGCGTGAATTCGTCAATCAAAGGTTGAGTCTAGACTTGTCAGAATAACCTACCAAGAAAGAAGAGAGCATTCGACACCGCGCGTCAAGGACTCTTAGGCACCGTTTGATCCGATTCCGACACCATTGAGCACCGAGTTGAGGGTATGGTCAAGGCCGTTTCCGAGAAGTCCATCCGCAACGATATCGGCCTTGATGTTGATCCCAAGGCCGTTCAAAAGTTTCGTTAGACCAACCACAAGAGGCTCGTCACCAGAACTCGTTCTGCTGCTGCTGCTTGTTGTCGTCCCTGCAGTGGCCGTGGGCGTAGGAAGCGTCGACGCATATAGGGAACTCTGCACAGCGGCCGGGACAGAAGCCGGAGGGTTTTCGCGACCCAGATTTCGCAGCCCCAACGAGGCATCCACGATATTGCTGAGGTATTGATATACGACGTCCGGAACCAAATCCTGGGTATAGTTACATGCCCTTAGGTCGTCTAACGAGCGAGTACTCTGCTCGAGAAGCGTGTTCGTCTCAATGGCAAAGTCATCGTACGTCTGACAAGAGAGCAGCGTGATCGTCGTCTCGATAATGCGATCGACAAGGGAGGAATTGATATTGGACGAGTCACAACTCGGCGAAGTGGAAGATAGAACAGAGGGAACGGGTGTAGGAACAGGACCAGAGCCTGTAGATGGAAGAGTCGGTTTACCGATTGCGGAAATCGTCGGCGCCTGTGTCGCCAAAGGTGTCGAAGTGCCCACGATTGGGAGTAAAGAGCTCGCCGCACTGTTGAATCCAAGCACCAAGTCCACGAGTGCATCAATCTGGTCCAAAAGAGTCGAATCCAAGGTAGCGTTGGCGGTAGTTACAATTTGTCTTTTTTCGCGCCTCATGTGAGTTCCGCCCTCGGCCCTCATCAGATCCTGACGTGGCCCTTTGGCACGACGGTGAACACCACTTGGTCCAATCCTGGCTACGCCATCAAGTAGATTATTCACAGAAGAATCCAGGCCGTCTCCGAGACCGTCAACGGTGGCGATACCAGTCGACCCCCCGAGTCCTAGGTGATCGAGCAGGTTGTCCAGACCAATGACGATGGGAGTATCGGCAGGAACAGGCGACGAGGAGGCCACGGGTAAAATGGCATGAGATTCGACAACCAAAGGTCCACCTAATCGTCGTTATTTATTGTTCAAATAGAGGTAGAAAGCGATATATATACCTGTTGGAAGCAGAGCGCCCAGAGAAGTGGTGGTAGGATCGTCCGGAGTCGGGGCCACGATGTCATTGGACGCACACCAGTTTTTCAGTCCCACAGCCGCTTCAGAGACACGATCCAGAAACCGGACCGCCTTATCCAACCCAAGTGCTTCGGTACATGAGCAAGCTGTGAACTGGTCTTGCAGAGCCGATGTCGCGTTGATGAGGGCGTCGATGTTGTTAAGAAGAGAGCCGACAGTTGACGACTGAAGCAGGTGTCCAGTAGCATGCACGATGCCCAAGACCGACTGATTGTTCAAGGTGGGCGATGTGGTCGAGTCAGTAGTAGAAAGAGAGCTCATGGAGTCTTCCAGCGCCAAAACCAAGTCGAAGAGGCCCGCTAACTGAGATCTCAAACCCGAACTGATTGCTGCGGAGACGTTTGCAGAGACATCACGACGCCTGGCATTGACTGGGCCGATGTCGAGGCCATCCAGGATATTGTCGATACCGTCACTCAATCCAGCGCCCAGCCCGCCAACTGTCACATTAGCTTTGATGGGTCCCAAAAGTTGAAGACCGGTGAGCAGGTCGGAAAGGCCAATGACGATAGGTGCATCGTCCGAGGTGGAAGCATTCGGCGCAGGAGGGAGAGCTGCGGGTGGCGTTGGCTTCGTTGATATGCCCAAAGATGCGGGCGCCGTCGGGGTCGGGGAGGTGGTGATGGGGTGGCCTTGGTAATATGATTGAATCCCCAGAGCTGCAACAGTAACTTCCTCCAAATCCGCGGCCAATCCTTCGAGCCCATATGTACCCAAAGAACTGTTAGCGGCACTGCATGCTTGAATAAGAGATTCGGTAGCATTCACAAAAGATGCAACAGTGGCGGAAATGACTAGGCTGGTTGTAGAAGTGATGATAGGATTGATGAGACCAGCAGCATCGGTTGATGAGCTGGAAGTGGAGGGTTGAGGCGGAGGGGATCCGGTTGTGGGCGATGCATCATCATGAAGTTTAATCACGAGGTTGACCAGGGCAATGATTTTCGTGACCAAGTCCGAATGAATGGTCACATTTGCATGGTTATTCGTGCCGTCGTTTGGAGAAAGGCCAATGGTATCTATCTCGGATGTTCCATAGCGACCAAGGTCGGACAGCAATGTAGAGAGCCCTAAAACAATAGGTTGATTTGGGGAATTGACAGAAGAGGAACCGGTGTTTGAGCGAGTTGAGCCTGGCACAATCGCGTTCTGAGTATACCAACTCGTCAAAGCCGAGAGATATGAAACGAGACTTTGCAACTCGGCCGAAGCGTCAGTGAGTCCTAAAGTCTTGGTGCAGCCGCAAGTAGAAAGTATCGAGGCCAACAGGGCGCTGATATTGAACAAGGCGGCTGTGTTGGTCTCAAGCTGGGAGATGGTCGACGATGCCAGCAAGCTTCCAGTGGCCCGATTGATGTCTTCAAAAAGGGCGTATATCGACGATGTTGTATTGGAAGTAGATATCAATGATATGCCCAAGGAAGACGATGTCAGAGAGGAAAGGTCCACGACGGCCTTGGAAAGAGCAACCAACTGGGTGAGCAGATCCGAGTTGACGTTTACAGTGTCTGTAACGTTTGCAGACAGAGGGTCTCCCCGTTTTTGCACCCTGCGCATTCTCGACAATGAACCTGGAGAGGCGATACAACCATCCTTCGTGGAATTAGGGATCCACCCTTCGCTGCAAGAGTTAACGATGCATTGGCTTTCGAAGCATGTTGACCTCTTCGCATGAAAAACGTTGGTGCAATCCTTGCCCAAGCTCTGAGCCGACGCTTCGGTGAACGAATGAGGAACAACGCAGCCACCACCTACAGTGCCAGAATAACATAAGGAAAAGAAAAAAGATAAGTATATTAAAATATGACTTACAGCTATCTTCGGTCGTTTGGACATCGACGCATTCAAAGGCCAGGGTGCCCACTTGACCTGGGACGCCACAGACCGTTTCGTGGGGCTTGCACCGCGATTGGGCTTGAGAAAGTGTACTAATTGATTCTGCGCGCTTTAAAGAAGGGACTGATGAACCACAGCCCTGATTGAGGCATTAGAATATCGAGAACAAGAGAAAGCATAAATGTATGCGCATAAATATGCTCACCTGAGGAAAGCCTCCACATACACCGTTGCAGGAGATATTGGGAGGAGCGCAGACACATGTATTGCCATTCTGGACATAGTTGGTATCGCATTCGTAGTGGCAAGGGTCCGAGTTGTTACAGGTATGGTGCGCATTGGATGGGAAGGTACATTGACGAGCGTCAGGCGAGGTATTGATCTAAGATATTTAGCATCAGAGTTTGCCACACAATCAGACGTGCGGAGAAGGATACATACCAGAGCGGTAATGATAGTGGAGACGGCGTTTTTCCCGAGGAGTCCGACCAAAGCTTGAACATCGTCATTAGTGTCAAGGTAAACGTTCAGGTCCTATATGCGAGCGAGTTTAGCGCATATATGCACCTCATGAAGAAAAACCGTACCTTCAAACACAGGCAGAGCTGGACATTGGTGCCAAGGTTGAGATCGCCTAGTAGCGAGCCAAGACCCAGTAACTGAGAGGCATTAGCCGCGAGGTCTACGTTGGCATTGATGCATACATCTAGCAGGTCACGAGCTATGCGGTGTTGACGGGAGGTCAATACATGCGCGGCCGGCGAGCGTCCGTGTTCGCGGCGACTGAGTGCATGAGGGTGGATGGAGAGAACAGGGGAGGGGAAGAGAGAGAAAAGAGCGGTCGCAGAGAGAACGAGTGTGGAGAACGGGAGACGCATGGCCTCGCCGCGGGTGACTTGGAAGGATGTGGTTGTCAAGAGTCAAGAGGACGAAGAACGCGAAGGGATTTCATTATATAGCAGGCGGCGCGGAGTTTCGCGAAAATATTCTGCGGTCACTTCGGAGGCCCGTCGAAAGGCGGGATGCATCAATTTGGAGCAAAAGTTGCCACAAACAGAAGGCAGGGCGCGTCAATAACGTCATAGATAAGCTACAGCAAGAAACCACTAGAAGTCATGTTGCTTTCTTTTAGGATTATTCGCCTAGAGTCTCTACTCTGAGTATTCAGTTGGGCTTCGTTTGTCATCGGTTTCCTAGAATTATGGCAGATTATCTGGAGCAATCACTCTGGGAGTGTATCCGCACTCCGTTGACGTCGACGCTGACAGTCCCGTCATTGTCGACTTCACGCCTAGAATTTCATCCGCTAGAAGCTGCCCGTCCGTCAGACTCGTCAGGGGCCGTACGGGCGAAGGGTTCAATAACCTAGCACAGAGAGAGAGAGCACGGTTGCAGATTATTGGAAGACAGATAGACGAGTTCGAATTGATTTCAAGACGAGTCTGCGAGCATGGGCAGCCTCCTCTTGTGGCATTTTGCATTGTCAATGTCGACCAAGAAGAGCTGAACGAAGTAGAGGCACCATGCTTTCTGGAAACCAACAGGGTCACG